CCTACAAAGACACCCACAAATCAAGCTGCTTGCCAAAAATCCTGGTGATTTTCAGGCCTTTAAATCAACAACAAAAAACAATCCACTGAGTCGTGATCACTGGCTGAGTTCAGAGCCTCTCTTGAGACAGGTGCCTCAAAGACAGCTCTATCCTACCATGCTATCCAAAATCTTCTGCAAGGGTCCAGAGCCAGGTCTTGGCAGCCAGGATATCACATCAGTCAGATAAAAACCCTGGGTTTCTCTCACCTGTCAAACTTGGGATATTTCTGTCAGTCTAGCTATTTTAGCTACAGAAAACAAAGGTAAAGAAGGAGGCCTGTGAGCTCAGTTTGATGTAAGCAGGGATAACAGCTGGCCTGATGTCCTGGGCTGAAGGCCATTGACTCTGTTTAGAACAAAGGATGTTGTACAACTTCTTGGTTTTTGATGTTGGTTCCACTAAACGTGCAAGTCTTACTTCCTGTCTCCTGTGCAAAGGATGTTGGAGCCATTAGGAGAGATGCTTTTGCCTACAGCTAAGATGAAATCATGCACAAATAAAGTGAAGCATCTTATTTTACTTGATTTTTCTTATTGGTTACCTCTCCCCCATTCTAAACTTGTCTCACTCTCCAACGTATTTATTTTTTAAAAAGAGGAGGGCGGGTAGAATAGATAAAACTAGAGAGAAAAAAAACCTCACACAGATGTGAATCACACCTGGCTTTGGCTCAGCTGAGAGCCACAGTGGGCCTAGGAATGGAGGCCTAAAGGCAATATTTTCTTTCACTGGTTAAGAAGAGTTTCTAGAGGGAGACTTCCAGCTGCTAGGAAGGCTTTCCAAATACTGCTTCCTCCTCAGCCACCTAGCAACTCAGAACTCTACTTAATAGCTGATACCTGAGGACTGAGCATTGTCAATTGCTGTTGATCGTCCATTTCCTGGGATAAGGGTTGACATTTGGAAGATGGAGATGTTTGGCACCCATGGGGCTGGGTGAGAAACAGATAAGTGGTAGCAGCCCCTCCATGAAGCACTGTTAACTTTCTTGCTGAGGCAAAATCAGGAGGTAGAGGGCTTATTATTTGGTCGCTTTGAAGGTGTAGAATACACTAGCACATGGTCTTGGATGTCCTTGTAAAAGGCATACAGAGATTGTTCCCCTTCCCAACATGATTGATATGTCTTTTACTTTAACAAATGAGAAATGTCCGTGACAGAAGGGAACCCTGTTACAAACCAGGTTTTCTCATTAGCAGTGAAACATGGATAATTATTCACTAGGAACATACGCAGTGGGAATTCACGTTAGCTTCTTATTTTGATGATTGCTGCTGGCAGTCCTCAGAGGCCACACTACTCACACAAAGACATGCACATAAATATGTACATAAAAGTACAGGGGCCTGCACAGCATGTCTACCAAGAATACCACTTCTGAGTACAAGGGAAGTTTTTAAGCATTGAAGGACAGATTAGCAATGGAAGGCAGATGACTGGCAGTTTCATTCATTTATTTGGCCTAACCTTTTGCAAAATAGATTGAAAGCAAACTTTCCTGAGAGCATTTATTGTTCAAGATGAGTGATCACCCAAATTAGAAGTGCATGGTTGCTATCCTGATCTAATATATAGAATATATATCATATATAATATAATATATTATGATAATATAATATACTATATATACATATATATAAATCATCTATTTAGCAGATGAATCCAACCTCAGGAATGAGAAGTTATTTTAGGGAGTTGTTATAATTAGGATATACCTTCAGCAACTTGTGATAGACTCAAATAACAAAACTGAAATAAAGCAACACATCCCTGCATAAAGTCATGGCGTAGAGGAAGATATTCCAAGCCTAGTCTGGGCACATACCATGTCAGCTAGCATCAGGAGTGAAATATCTAACCAAGCTAACCCAATGGCTCTGATGAGAGTCATCCACTAATTTATAAGGCTGAATAATATTCCCTCACACATATATCCCACACTCTATCCATAGAGATAGGACTGCTTAAAAATCAATATACAGATCTCTCTATATATACATATAGATATAGAGAGAGATCTATATATCTATATAGATGTATCTATATAGATAGATCTATAGATACAGAGAGAGATGATAGATAGATACATACATAGATACATACACAGATACATAGATACTTAGATGAACCATTACTTTCAATTAATTTGGAAGAGAACTTGCTGAACTATAATAATAATAATAACTATGATAATCCTGTTTGATTGCAGGGAGGTGGGGAGATTGTCATACTATCTTCCATAGAAACTGTTCTATTTGCATATTATGCAAAGCTAGTCAGAACACAATAATGTCTTTAATTTTACACATCTTTCACCAATATTTTCTATCATTATCATCATCATCATCATAGCAATATAATGGGTCCTGGCACTAGTGTTCTACCCATTTGAGCACACCTCCTTTCTTTATCCTTTTTATAGTAGTCATCCTGATAGGTGTGAAATGGAAATGTATTGTAATTCATTGAGTATCTTTTCCTGCGCTTACTGGCCACTTTTCTATATTTAGCTTGTTTGGAATAAAATCTGTTCTGGTCCTTTGTTAATTTTTTTAACTTGATGGGCTTCTATTATTATTTTTTATAGTTGTAAGTTGTTGTTGTTGGTTTTTTTGCTTGTTTGATTGTTTTGCCAGTACCAGGGTTGGAACTCAGGGCTTCACACTTTTGATTGGCTTGCTTTCTTGCTCAGCTGATGCTCTATTACTTGAGTGATGCCTCCCAGTCTAGCATTTTTCTGGTTATTTTGGAGATTGAGTGTCTCAGAACTTTCTGCCCAAGGCCTCAAACTGCAATCTTCTGGACCTCAGCCTCCTGAGTACGCAGCATAAATTGCTTGTACAAAGCAGTTCCATTGTTACATATCCATAAATACAAATTATGTATGTTGATCAGATTTACCCCTCTACAACTCTTTCTCATTCCCCCCTCTTTTAATTTTTTATTTTTGTATTGTTATCATAAAAGTACAGATGTACAGAGAGAGGAGTTACAGTTTTATGTCACATAATGAGTACATTTCTTTTTAGAATATGTCACCCTTTCCCTCACTCTCTCCCAGTTTTTCCCTCCCACAAGTAGTATGGTTCATTTTCAACATAGTGCCTAGTGAGTATCACTGCTGCATTTGTTCACCCTTTTCTCTCTCCCTTTTTACACAAAATGTGTTTCGGTATTCTATTCTATACATGCATAAGAAATACTTCTATCACATTCTTCTCATCCTTTCTTTCCACTCTCTCTTTTTTCCTGCTGGTTCCCACATCTGAGCAGCCCCATATTATACTCAAGTAATGCAGTTTCTTTTGTAGGTCTAGATTTTGCATATGAGAAAGACCATGCAGTATTTGTTTTACGCAGTCTTGCTTATTCCATTTAACATGATGATCTTCAGTTCTACCCATTTTCCTGCAAACAACGTGGTTCCATTCTTCTTTATGGCTAAATAATACTCGTATGTGTCTGTGTCTATGTCTGTGTCTGTGTGTTTGCATGCCACATTTGTTTACCCATTCATTAGTGGACAGACACCTAAGCTGGTTGTGTAGTTCAGCTATTACGAAGAGTGCTGCTATAAACATGGGTATGCAGTTATCTCTTTTGTTGACTTACATTCCTTCAGATATATCTCTCTGAGTGGTTTGGCAGAATCATATTACATCCATAATTTTGGTGGGGTTTTGTTTTGATTTTTTGTTTTGGTTTGTTTTTTTGTCAGTCGTGGGACTTGAACTCTGGGTCTGGGCACTATCCCTCAGCTATTCAGCTCAAGGCTAGTACTCTACCACTTGAGCCACAGCACCACTTCCAGTTTTCTGGTGGTTTATTGGAAATAACAGTCTCACGGACTTTCCTGCCTGAGCTGGCTTTGAACCGCGATCCTCAGATCTCAGCCTCCTGAATAGCTAGGATTACAGGCATGAGCCAGCCACCAGTGCCCAGCTGCATAATTTTGGTTTTTTGAGGAACTTCTATACTGATTTCCATAAGAGGCTACACAGATTGAAATTCTCATCAAGAGCGTATAAGTATTCCTTTTCCCCAGATCCATGCCAATATATTTGTTGTTCTTTTTGTTTTCTTAGTGATTACCTTTCTGAATGGGGTAAGATGAACTCTATGTAGTTCCAATTTATACTTCCTTTTGGCCATGGATGCTGAACATTTCTTCATGTATTTTTGGCCATTTTTACTGCCTCTTTCAAGAATGGTCCATCAGCCTATTTGTTAATTGCATTGTTCATTTGTGTTAATTTTAGATATCTTTATATATTGTGAATATTAATCATTAGCCAATGAATAATTAGGAAATATTTTTCTCCCATTTAATAGGTTGTCTCTTGATTCTTATAATTGTTTCCTTTGCTTTCCAGAATGTTTTTATTTGATACAATCCCATTTTTCAATTCTTGCTCCAATTTCTGAGAGATTAGAGTTCTATTTAGAAAGATATTACCTTTATCTATGTTTTCAATAGTTTTTCCATATTTTCCTCTAGAAGTTTCAGAGTTTTGAGCACTACATTTAGATTTTTGATTTATTTGAATTACTTTTATACAAGAGATACGGGTTTAATTTCAGTCTTCTAGGTCTAACATACTGTATATGAAAACATAGTTTCTCTATAAATAAAACAAATGTAGAAACTAAAATGAAATGTTTAATGAGTGGATACAAGTTGCATCATTTTTTTTAAAGTTGTATAGAAGTATAAGAAAAAATAGTCACTTTGTTGCTCTCCAAGAATTTTTACTTAATTGAATGAATAATACTTTCTCTCCTAGTGAGGCAGAGAATAAAAATATCTCCTGTTGGCTTGGGAATGGCAACCTTAATTTTTTAAATGCCATAGGTAAGGCTATGCATATCATTCTAGAGTCATGGAAATGCAAATCAACTCTCCATGCATACATCATCTGGGGCTTTACCAATGACTTGCTTTTCTTCTCTCTTGTAGGATGTCCTGTCACAGGACACCCCGCCCCCAATATCACCTGGCTTCATGATGGCCAGCCCATTGCCACAGCCACGGGGCTGACACATCACATCTTGGCAGCTGGGCAGATACTTCAGGTTGCAAATCTCAGCGGAGGATCTCAAGGGGAATTCACCTGCCTTGCTCAGAATGAAGCAGGGATGCTCACACAAAAGGCAACCCTAGTGATCCAAGGTATGGAGCCTCATAGGCTCTGGGTGTCAGATTTCTTTTTATGAACAAGAGAAGGTTCCCCCTAGAAACCTAGAAATCAAATTCTGTGATAAAATGATTTCTGATATCCCTGTCTATATCTGATATCTATGTCCATATCTGAACCAAAGCCCCTACTTCTGTTCACACGTCCCTTCAGAAAAACCACTAATTCCCAGCTTAGTTGAAGCTAGAAAAGTTAGTGCTGCCCTCAAAAATGGGCTCTTTGATTCACAATGTTGCTGTTCTTAGGAGCAATTAAGTGCCACTATTTATCAAAGTTAGATGTGTCTCCTTTATGCTGTTTTAACTAGAGAAGATCCCTAGAGAACATACACAGTATTTCAAAAGCACAAGTCTTTAAGTGTCCTCATTACCTGACTTGTGAAACTGTAATTCCTTTCTGTATACCGCCTTTATAATAATGATGAAAAATTAAAATCAAAAAAGAAAATACACAAGTCTTAAGCCTGGCAGTGGTGGCTCATGCCTATAAGCCTAGTGATCTGAGGATCACAGTTCAAAGCCAGCCTGGCAGAAGAGTTCGTGAGGCTCTTGTCTCCAATTAACCACCAAAGCCCCAGAAGTAGAGGTATGGTTCAAGAGGTAGAGTACAAGCCTTGAGCAGAAAAAGCTAAGAGAGTATAGCCAGTCCCTGTGCTCAAGCCTTAGTTGTATGAGGGGGCCGGGGGAGAGCAATACCTTTTCATCTGACCCATTTGGTCACTGCCTCTGTCTGGAGAAATAGAACTGTGAGACTGAACATTCCAAAGAGCTTTCAGCTGCCATCACATGCTGTAAGCTGCCCAGGCACCTTTCCCTTGGCTTTGGCAAAGGACAGATGGAGAAGCCTGAATGGCTCATGCATTAGCCTTCCAGGAATACTGGCAAGTCAGAAAGCCCATGAGCGGGGCCTGGCAGTCTCTGATCCAGACAGAGCTGTGAATGAACCCAAAACAGTGGGATGAAAGCTCCAAGTGGCCTTTTTATAGCACCTGTGGGCTGAATTTTTCCTGAGTTTTCCATAGCCAGTTCTACCTGTGACCTATGAGTGATACTTTTTAAGGCAAGCAAAACTCCACTGCATATATTCCAAAATGGAAGATTCTTTCAGCAAGGACAGCATTTTGTGCCAAGAAAGGCACAAAAAGAGGGAGGTTTTCCTCAGCATCTAACTTTTCCTCTTAAGATGTTCTCCCCTGCCATTTGGCTTTCCAGACAGGAAAACAAAGTTTCCATTTTCTTGCCAGCCAGCTATTCTCTGCTGAAAACCAGAATCCAGTGCCTATCTGTAAGCATTGCAAATACACACTCCAAATTCACCAGCTCACATTTTTTTAACAGCTCTCCTTCCAGTGAGTGCCAGACCCCCGCACGGAAAAGCCAGAGAAGCTGGCTTTCACTGACGTCATTGTCTCCTGTAAATGAGAACTCTCTGGATAGGCTGGGTTGTGTGTATGGGGGGGGGGGGGAGAGTTGTAACCTTTACAAAACCCAACTGAAATCTGCACTTTGAAATGTGATTACGTATCTCTGATATATTTATATCTCTCAGTGGAAAAATAAAGGTCCCTTTCTGGTGATCCAATAAGAAAAGAAGTACTTCAGCAAGAAATGTTTAAGAGTAAATGTATCATGGCTGATGGTTAACTACTCTTCTGTCTGCCAGGCACTGAGATAGGTTCTTCATTTTCCTTCTACCTGGTCCTCTAAGGATGAGATGAGGGTTATTACACACACTTTGTGGATGAGCCAGCTGAGGCTTGTGGAGAACACAGGGCTTGCCCAAGCAGGGGCAAGCACCCAGGGGTAGAGACTTATTCATCCTCCTCCTTCACCCACATATCCACCACCCCCCTAGACCCATCCACCTGATCCCTACCCTGCCCAGAAGGAATAGTGTGTGGGCACTCATACTTCTATTCCTCCTCCTGACAGATTACTGGTGGTCTGTGGACAGACTGCCGACCTGCTCCGCATCTTGTGGTAACAGAGGGTTTCAGCAGCCCCGCCTGAGGTGTCTGCTGAACCACACTGAGGTGGACCCCGAGCACTGTACAGGAAAGCCACGCCCTGCCGTACAACCTGTTGCCTGTAACCGTAGAGACTGCCCATCTCGGTGAGTATGGCCTCAAGTTAAGTTGACCGCCAGCCCTTGTTTCATACCATACAGGGAGTTTGTGTCAGGTCTCTCCACTGAGTTGTGAATACCCTCAGAACCAGCGTCCTCGCTCAGCTCTGCTCATTCCCTTGGCTCTCTGCTAGCCAAGGGCTACCAGTTCATGAGAGCCTAAGAGAGTCTGCTCCATCACCAAGTGCATTCCAGACCTGGCCAGAGATTCTCACCCATCCTGCCATTACAATAAGCTGACTCTCCAAGTTGTTTACAAAAGAAAGAAGGATTTTCTTCTTGAAGTGTTGAGGAGACCAAGAGTTCTGGGCGCTACCACAACCTCTTGCTTTTTTTTTCTACCTTTAATTATCTATGCAAATCTATTGGAGGATATTTCATCTTCTTTTCTTATTATTGTGAAAATACCATACAGAGGGGTTACTTTCATCTTCTTTTCTGTAAATACTTGGACTAACTCTCCATGTTTCTGATTGCCTTAACTTTGGACAGCCTCGGCACTTGAGTCTCTTATTTCGCTTAGGATAACACCCAGAGTCTCCGTCTCCTCCATATTCCTCACTGAACACCCACCCCACAGCTAAAGGAAGCACGGGTAGGCTTGGACTTTGTACCTGCATGGTGCTTTGTGCCTAGGGGGAGCTAACTGGGCCCTGAAATGCCCCTTTATGACCTATCTATAGGACTTTTCTATACTTCTCAGGCAACTGCTTTATGTTTTGCCAGCTGAGTCATAAGGATCAACTGAAACCAGGAGAGACTCCATGAAATATGAAACACACTCATTAATATCAGCAGTTTGACTTGCTGACGGGAAGGTTTCCACAGGAATGATTAATGTCCTTTTAGACCCTTCCTGAACAGTAACATAGCCCATACCTCTCCCTTCTCAAAACCCCCACCCCAGCTCCTGAAAAAAAAATGGCTGAGATGTATATTTAGAAATAAAAGTTGATTGAAATGCAGGCCTGACATTCACCAGGAATATAAAAGGGCTGGAAGGCTGCCCTTGCCAAGGCTGTGTGAAATGAAGAAAAGATCCTTGACATGCCAGCAACTTTTTGATTTGATTTGGTGATGGTCAGAGTTAATCAACCTAATTTACTTCTGCAAATGAAATAATAATGGCGGTGTCTTCTTTGGTTTCAATAGCCCCGGGAGCTTTAAAACACCTCATGGCTCCTTCCTAAGTGGCCTACTCCTGTGGGCTGGAAACCAGCATGCAGTCAGCCCTCTCTGGGCCAAGAGTAGAGAAATGGCCCCAAAACTAAATAAGTCACAGATCCTGGCGCAGGAGGAATTTGCTCTCCAATCCACTCTTTTTTACCTGACTTTCCTTAAGCCAGATGTGGCACCACCAGGCTCTTCTTTGCCTGGTTTCCTGCCAGGCTTGTGGGAACATGGTGGCATATATCTTTGCCCACAGAAGTACAGCACTGACCATCTTTCTAAACAGAACTCAGAAAATCCTGCTTTTATGCAGATAGTTGGATCATGCTAAATTCCCTCTCTCTCCCTCTCTCTCTCTCTCTCTCTCTCTGTGTGTGTGTGTATGTGTGTTTCACACATACACAAACACACACACACAAACACACAGGGAGGAGGGCAGTAAAACAACTGGTTTTTGCTTTCCTACAGAGCATGAATTATCTGAAAAGCACCATGTTTCTTCTCCTTTTCCCCAAACTATTCTCTTCCTCTCTGAGAATGTCTCCTAGGTAACACACACACACAAAGAAACCCCCTTTACATGTTTGGATGGCCCAAGGACTTTTCAGTGTCCCCCAATTACAGCTGAGGTTTATAAGAAAAGCTCATTTGTATAATCTTGGTCAGTCTCACGTCTGAGGGCTCAAGTTTTAGTTGGGACTTAACACTCTGAAAACATACATTTCTACCACATATATAACCTTCTAAGAAATATAAACCTCTAGATTGATACAGGGAGGTAGAAAATTGGCCCAGTAGGTTAGAAGGACTTCATATGTTTCTGAGAAAGGAAGCATATCAATGGGACCAGGGTTGGGGTAAGATAGAAAGCTCAGAGTACTGCCAGGAAAAGTCTTGATCAAAGTACCACCAGGAATGCCTCCCAGGTCAAGCAGTAACATGCTTAGAACTGAATGTCCTAGGAAACTGCTCTTTCACACTAGGAAGTACCACAATCTCAGTGTAGCATTCCTAACTACCTGATTGTCTCTCAGAGCATTCTATTTGCAACCTCACTACCTTGGAAGTGGCTAAGGCAAATGATCTTCAAAATCTCCTTTTAAGATGCACTTGCTCTGACTGGCAGAGTAGAATAAATGGGAGAGTGTTTGTCTAGCATGGGCAAAGGCCCTGAGCTCAAATCTAAATAACCAAAAATAGATAAAGTACCTTTCAAATCCTAGGTATGTTGGGTTCTTAAGGCTTTCATTAAAATATTGTCAGTAACAGTAGCTAAAACAGAAGTTGATTCAAAATTTTGAAAGTCAAAAGTTAAAGATAAAGATATTGACAGTCCATTCTGCCTTTGGAGGATAAAGGAAGAATCCATTCCTTGCCCCTGTATCTGCCAGTGCCTCTCTCTGAGTTTCCCTTGACTTATAGCTCCATAACTCCCAACTCCTGTTCCATGGTCACCCTGCCTCCTCCCCTTCCCCATACATACTCTCTCATTTTCTTACAAGACCACATGTGATAATATACAGGGCCAAGCTCATCTCAAAATCTTGAATTATGTCTGAAAAGATTTTCCAGATTCCAGGGATTTCACATTGGATAACGTGTGTGTGTGTGTGTGTGTGTGTGTGTGTGTGTGTGTGTGTGTGGACCTGGGGCTTGAACTCATGGCATGGGCACGGACCTTGAGGTTTTTCACTCAAGGCTAGCACTCTACCACACAAGCCACAGCTCCACTTCTAGCTTTTGGGTGGTGAATTGGAGAAAAGAGTCTCATAGACTTCCCTTCCCTGGCTGTCTTTGAACCACAATCCTCAGATCTCAGCCTCTTGAATAGCTAGGAGTACAGGCATGAGCTACCAACACCCAGCTACACACTGGAGAACTTTGAAAGATCCATTTAAGGGATGTGTGAGACCCCTTTCATCTACGCCTGACCTTCTGGTATTCTCAGTCTGCTTCTTTCACTCGCCAGGTGGATGGTGACTTCCTGGTCCGCCTGTACCCGAAGTTGTGGTGGAGGTGTCCAGACTCGCCGGGTGACCTGTCAGAAGCTAAAAGCTTCTGGGATCTCCACCCCTGTGTCCAATGATTTGTGCTCCCAACTTGCCAAACGACCCGTGGATACACAGGCCTGTAACCAGCAGCTGTGTGTGGAGTGGACCTTTTCCAGCTGGGGCCAGGTAAGGAGCCAGAGAGCTTTTTAGTTGAGAGATAAATCCAAAGATATAAACCTTGCCACAGTAGGAAGTCACGTCCTCCATTACAACTGACTTTTCACATGCCCTTCTGTCACTAATTCACCCAGGACCATTCTTAAGGCTCAGAGTTTGGCATATTCTCCCCTGACATTAACACACTGCTTACATTCATTATGATTTTCCTTTTGCCCTCCTCTCTGAGCTCTTCCTGTTCTCTGATTGGACCTTCAGACTCATTCTATCAGGTAACCCTTCTCACTGGCTATGCTAGAGGAGACAATGTAAATCTCAGAAGGGCTCCTCTGGGGACTCAGTTCAGACAACTGGGGAAAGCTTTTTAGGCAACCAGGCTTTCCTCCCATGGACTTTCAGTCCATTTTCTCTGAGGTAGGATCCAAGCATGGGTAATTTTCAGAAACTCCTGATAAAAAAGCGAAGTAGAGAACCATTGTTCCAAGCCAGGAAAAATGGATGCTTTGCTGATCACTTTGAAACCACCTCCTCCTTTCCCCATTCTCTAGTTTGACATTAACATAAGAGGTCCACTTAGCTACACAGACAGCCTCATTTGCCCCAGAAACCTAGGGACAGGGCCTCCACGGATACAGTGAAAGAACATCATGGAAGAACCATGCTACCTCTGTCCATTTGGAGGGGGAAAGAGGTTAGATTTAGCTGTGATTTATAAAGAAGTTCAATACAAACTGAAAATTCAGCTCAGGAGAAAGCAACCTGAGCAATGTCAGCTACCATGCCAAGACAACAGCCACCTACCATCTTTCATTCTTTCTGGTTCAGGTTGGACTAAGCAGCAGTCAGGATCTCTAGTCATGAGAGGCCTAAATTTTCCTGAGCCCAGGCTATGAAGGCCTCTTTTTTTGCATAGAATAGCTATTTTATTCATCTCGTCCCTCTATTATCTTAGATTGTTGACACCAAAGAAAATCAGGTGGAAGTGCATGCGGGAATATCATTATTTGTGCTGTTTCTCCCAAAATCTATGTTCAGAACCAACTGGAGGTCTGCCTGGCATGGGAGAGCTGCCTGCCAGAGCTGATGCTCAAATGGTATCCGACAGCTACATGATCCCTTCTGCTCATGGGTTGTCCTGGACTGGTACTAACAGACATAGTGACTATTCTTGGAAAGGCATAATTTCTAGTTTTCTAGTCAGTGCAAACACTCCACAACAACAGGCTTTTCTTTCTTTTTTTAAGGAAAGGGTAGTACTGGGGTTTGAACTCAAAAGCCTCAAAAGCCTCAAACGCTAGGTAGGCACTCTAGCACTTGAGCTATGCCACCAGGCTTGTAACTTGTATGGCCAAAGTGACTGAATGTATTGGGGCAATTAGCAGCTTAACATGTGTTGAAATTGGCTTTCACATTCCTCTACTCCCAGCCCCAGGTATGAGCTTTGCAACTTTCTATTAAATGCATCTCTCTAATAAAGTTCAAATGCTGATTATAACTAGTGAATTCATTAAGGCGACAGAGTTCAGCTGCAACTCAGAACACTATATCTTAGCTGAGTCAGGGGCTGATACTCAACCTGGCAAATATGCCTGGCCAGCCCCTCATTTCCAGAGACATGCACTCTCCCTTGCTCCCACATCTAGTGGCAGGTATCCTCTTTCTCTTAACTGGAAAAATCTGCTTCTGATAGCGTTCCTTCAGCTCAATAGAGCTCAATAGCCCTGCTCCATGTCCTCAAAGCCAACCAGCACTTTTTGAAATTGGTTGGGAATAGCTCCAGCTGTACATGGGAGAATGATCGTGCACCATGTGTCTCTGTGAGTGCACTCAGCTTTTCACTTTTATATCAGAGGGAAAGAGTAGAAAGGGCATTTTCCATTTCCCTCAAAAAAAAATCTCTCACCCATTCTTTCTTCTAAAATACCTCAGGCTAATAGAACTCAAGCTTTAAAGTGAATTACCTGTGGATCTTGTCGCAAATGCAAATTATGACATCATCGGCCTATGACATCCTATGGCCCATAACAGTTCCCAAGACAAGAATTCCCACATTCAACATTCTATTTAACAGGATATTAGATGTTCAGAGCATTCAAGCAAGAAAAAGGAAGAAAGAACATCAAAAGATGACTGGATAAACAAAATCTAGTATAGTCATTTGTTCCTTAGAGATGTTTTGGCCAATGATAGACCATGTATATCTCAGTGGTCCCTCAAGATTATATCACCTGGAGATTTTATAGCCATGTTAATTACTCTTGGGATATTAATACTATGATGAATCACCAAACACCAAATTTCTCACAATGTATCCCTATCATTAAGCATCAGATAACCATGTGCTTATGATGAAATAAATCCACCCATAAAAGAACTAAAATTCTAGAAGTAGAGCTGTGGCTTAAGTGGTAGAACACTAACCTTGAGCAAAAAAAAACCTGAGACAGAACCCACACAAAGAAATAAATTTTTTTTCTTTCTTTTTTTTTTTTGCCAGTCCTGGGGCTTGAACTCGGCCCAGGCACTGTCCCAGAGCTTCTGTTGCCCAAGGCTAGCACTTTTCCAGTTGAGCCACAGCGCCCCTTCCAGCTCTTTCTGTTTATGTGGTACTGAGGAATCGAACCCAGTGCTTCATGCATGTTGGGCAAGCAATGTACCACTAAGCCACCTTCCCAGCCCCAGAAAGGAATTGTTATACATGCTACAACATGGATAAACATTAGTCATCTCTTCTTCTACTTCTCAGTGCAATGGGCCTTGCATCGGGCCTCGTCTGGCTGTGCAGCACAGACAAGTCTTCTGCCAGACCCGGGATGGCATCGCCTTACCCTCCGAACAATGCAGCGCCCTTCCCAGGTAATAGGATGCTCTAGACATCCTTACCCTACTCCCCATGCAAACAGCCTCCCACCGCCCCAGGGATCAGATGCCCTGCCTACTCCCCTCCATCATCCCAGGCCACTGGCCTACTGAGATGGCTCAGTGCTTGCCGGATGGGCCAGGCTGGACTTTGCTCTCTTGAAAATAAGACAGGCATGTGTTTTATCCCTCTGAGAGAGGCCTGATTCCCCAAGAAACCTGAATGAGGTGGGCAGGAGGCAAGATTATACACACTAGTCAGCAAACCTTAAGGGACCTTCATCCTTACTGATCTCTCTGTAGAAGTTAGGCTGGGGATTCTTGCCACAACTTCTCCTCTTTATCTGTCCCCCTTGGAGAAGAGTTCATCAACCCCACCTAGGACCAGGCCCCAAGTTGCACAGCTTCTACACTGAGTAGAGCGCATTCTCAGGTCATGCAGAGATGCAGATGTGGTAGAGAAGGACAGATGGAGATTCAGTTTTAAGTTGTTCTCTTAAAATCTTACAACAGTCAGTAACAGAGCAAGAACTCCAAACCGCAGCCTGGGAATGCTGAACGTTCTTGAGGAGTCACCTACCATTGCTAAGCTTAGAGTATGTTCCTCACGTTTGTCCCCCTGATCTGATGTTTAGAGACAGACCATAAGTCTGCCATCTTTCTCCTGCAGGCCTGTGAGCACCCAGAACTGCTGGTCGGAGGCCTGCAGCGTACACTGGAGGGTCAGCCTGTGGACCCTGTGCACAGCGACCTGTGGCAACTACGGCTTCCAGTCCCGGCGCGTAGAGTGTGTGCATGTCCGCACCAACAAGGCCGTGCCTGAGCACCTGTGCTCCTGGGGGCCCCGGCCTGCCAACTGGCAGCGCTGCAACATCACCCCATGTGAAAACAGTACGTTCCAATCCCAAAGAACATTCTGCAAGTTCCCCACGGGGCATCGGGTGCAGAGGGCAGTCCCTGAAACTGAGCCTCAACCCCGGGGCACTGGATCAGGTTCCCCAAGGATTGTGAGCGGGGGCCAGAGTTGAGTGTTTTCAGTGAGGTACATGGGTGGACGTGTCTAGGCCACAAGAGATGGCACGGTATGCCCCCCCCCACGGGCTTCCACAGCCTCCACCCTAGGCCTGAGATTACCAAATGCTGTTGGCCAAGTGCTGGATGAAATCATCCTCCAGCCCACCTGCAGTCAGACTGTTGGTTGCCACAGGGGATGACGTACAGTGGTCCACAGGGACCAAGATACTAAAGAGAGAGCGCTGTTAACACTGAAGAAGCATGCAGAGAGCCTCAAGCTCAGCTGGCCTTGCACTCACCACTGTTCTGCTTCTCACCGACCAAGGACCTGCTGATCACCTCCCTCCTCCCCTGCCCAGGGGCCTCCACTGGAACTGGGCAGGAGGCCACAGCCCTGGGATATCATTTTTTTTCTATCCCTCTTCCCTCAACTTTGGAGCCTCCACAGCCCTACACACACACACACACACACACACACAATATATATATATATATATATATATATATATTCCAGTTGGGTAGGATCCATTTTCTCTTCTTTGGAACCCCAAACCCAAGTTAGAAGTGTTTCCCCACAAGGCAGAAAGTAAATGTTGAGACAAAGAACAGGAAATAAAAGAAGAAATATGGCAATGTATTTTTCCTTACACTGATCTTCATTAAGCAATAGATTTCCCAACACTAAGGCAGGTACCCTGTAGGCACTTGGCCTATTCCTTTTCATACACTGGTAGGATGGATGAGCTTTGTACTCTGGTAAAATACCGACCCATGTTCAGGCCAGAGTGCAATCAAGCCCTTAGGACACTTACCAGATGGGGTTGGAGGCGTGGCTCAGTTGGTAAAGTGTCAGCCAGTGAGCCGAAAGCACCAGGTACTGAGTTGGAATCCTAGTCACAGACCTAAAGAAAAAGATACTTACCAGCTCAACCTATACTGATTTTAAGAACCATCTAGTGTCAACCAATGCTGAACTGGAACACCACGGTATATTTAAGACCTGATGGGTGGAAGGATTAGAGAAATTTAAGTCGAGGATATAAGAAAAACTTCACAGAATAAGCAAAGTCCAAGTACCTAGAGGTGAGGGCCTCCAACTAGAGCTTCGCTCATCTGGTCTCTCAACATGGAGCAGAGTCCAGTCCCACTGGGAACTATCTCAAGGCCGAGAGTCACTTCTAAAACACCAAGAGCCCATGGGAAAAGGTAAGCGAGGAGGTAAAGTAATCGTAAGGGGAGAGGAGAGAAGTACAAACAGAAAGTAGGAATGTGCTATCAGAAGGAAGTAGACAGATGCAGGCAGATGCCATCCTGCTATTGGCAGCCTGGGGTGGCAAATAGCTGAGCTCGAAGGCTGCCCAGAAGGGCTGCAGAGCAGCAGCAAAGGCATCCTGTACTCCAGGCACCCCGGCAATGGTCTCCATCAGTTAGCCTCTGTTTCACATCTCCTTTCTGTCCCCTCCCCCACCTCCTGCTTTCCCAGCGGAGTGCAGAGACACCACCAGGTACTGCGAGAAGGTGAAACAGCTGAAACTCTGCCAACTCAACCAGTTCAAATCTCGCTGCTGTGGAACTTGTGGCAAAGCCTGAAGACAGGGCATGGGGAAGAACTCTACCCTGGCCAACCCCACAGGACTCACGCCACCACCTGGGACAGAACTAACGCTTTCTCTGTTTTATTTATTTATTTGCCCCTCCTGCACACACCCACCTCCCACCCCCACCCCCCACCCCTGAGGACCTCAACATGTTTTCTCTGTCAGTTCGCTGGAGGACAGTGTTGGGAAAGGGAAAGGACAGATGTGTACAGGAAGTTACAGAGCCTGCCAGGCACCCAGTAGCAACAGCAGCAGCAGCAGCCTTTGGTGGAGGCAACTTTCTCCCAATGGAGAGCTCAAAGTGACCAAGGAAGAGGAAGCCATAGGCCCTAGAGACTAGGAGAGCCAGGTGGGGGTGGGGTTGATGCAAACAGTAGACAACCAGCTGTTTCTTTCCTGGAAGTTAGGCAGAACTGTTGCTCTTTTCACACCTCCTCCCATTCCTTGGCCATGGGGAAATCAAAGGAAAGCACCCCAGGACTCAGTGCTTCTAGGGTAGGAGGAACATGGAAGAGAAGTCCGCCATAGATAGGTAGCAGTAAAGAGGGAGACATAGCAAGCGTTAGCACAGAGATGCAGGAAATCAAGAAAGGAGGGAAAGAACAGAATCAAAGGAAGTTTGTGTGTGCTCTTCAGTAGTGAGGCATCAAAGGCAAGGAGGGACTTCCAGGCAGCTGCATGAGGCTCGCCTGACAGGAGGTGGCACATGCCTGCACCCCTGTAGGTTCAGTGGAGCTGTGTGGTAATGTTCATTCAGAACTTTCTCTGTGTCCACATTGCACCTCCCCTAAGGTGAAGGGAGAGTCCCCACTCCCCACTCTGGATGAACTTCCTGCCTGTGCAGAATCAGCAAAGTCAGCAAAAGTCAGCATCTGGCCATGCAGCACGGCCATCCCTGGCATCTCTTTATCTAAATCAAAGGTCCCCTAGCCCTGAACAAAGTGCTGCTGTGCGCCAGGGGGCATTCTGAGCAGACATTGAGTGAGCCTTCTGCCTGAATGGCTTTTGCTGCTCCACTGGCTCTAGCCAGGGACTGGGGTCCTTTGCTCAAAACTGATTCAGTAATGATTTGCCAGAGCATCCACTGCGTTTCATGCCACAGCTGACCAGAGAGTGGAATAAAAGAATGGGTTTTGCCCATGGTGTGCCCTGCCTACCCTACCACCCCTAGAATCTGCAGGCCCTTCCTGTAGCACTGGAACTACTACTATACGTGGTGTTTATACAGCAAATTGAGAAGAGTGATAAGGAGCTGTGGTGAAGCCAAAAAGTAGTTAAGGACTCCAAGACTGTCCTGGAAGGCTTTTCAACCTATCCTCCCACACAATGATATAGTGTACACCTTATAGTAATTATTGTGCCAGAATTGGACATTCAACCACTCAGCAGGGAAAGCTGCATATATCCATTATGGTAAAAAAAAAATGGTTACAACAAAGTCAAGCTCAAAACAAAAACCTTGCGATTACTTTGCAAATTGTTCATTCTCCATAGCAGATTTCTTAGCAAGTACTTTGTGATTCCTCCCCAAGTAGTCTCCTTTAGTAAGCTGGGCAGTTGTAGCCATTTTCCCTCAGAGAATATATATATGCTCATGAAATGCCACTCACCCCAGGGCCACTATCATCAGGACTGCATTTTCCAGCCAGCCTGGAAGTAAAATTCATAAGGAAGACATTATTATTTGTCTCTAGGCAAGCTATGGACAGTAAAGGGGGTCACTTTTTCTTCATTACAAGATAGGCTCTAAGAAATCATGTTGCTAAAATGCAGTGTAATGTTTATTTAAAATAAAATAGAATGTTTTCTATGTATATCTTTTGTGAATATTTATTAGGATGTCTTGTATAAAAAAAGTGCAATATTAATAATAATTGTACATTGTCATCCAGAAAAAAAATATTGGGGAACCCTTTAAATTAACTTCCTGCAGCTGTGTTCTTATAAGCTCAATGGTGATAATTTGTATCCTTCCTATTTTTAGAAGTTGGTGTTTAACTCTGGATCCATTATTCACTGTGTACAGAATACATTGTAAAAGCTAACACAGGACATTTGTGACATAATAGTTATGCATGGAATGATGAAGACAAGTTCCATACTATTAATGTGGTTAATTATTTCTTGTTCAATAGCTATTGGAAATTGATGGTCAATATTTACATTTCCTTAGGGGAAAAAATAGGCATTTTCCAGCTCTGCCATGTGTCAGGGTATAGAGTTGGAAATGGGTTCCAGAGTGAGTTGGAGAGTCTAGGTTTGGGGTGGAAAGCAGCGTGCTCTTTGCATGAGTTGAATGTACATTTACTGTCTGTTCTGTGAATTGTGACTCAGCAGTACCACAGATTATTAGGGCTGCTGGATAAATGTGGAAGGAGGCACTTCCTCCTCTAAACACAAAACTGTATTTATATTTTTTGTACAGATAATACAGCTTATTTATTTAAATCTGGTCGTCAAGAGTCTCTCTTCAGCTCATCTTTCCCATTTAGCTTCTTTTTCTTTTTTTTTAATTGTGAAAATACCATACAGAGGGGTTTACAATTACATGGGAAAGATAATAAGTACATTTCTTATCAAGCATTGTTGCCTCCTCCTTTGTTTCCCCTTCCCATACCTTCCCATCTCCCCCCTCTCCCTGCCCCTTTACCCCCACCCTCACCCCCCCCACCAAAGTTGTAAAGTTCATTTTTTGACATAACAATTTGTACATCTCATTGTTGCAATGGGTCCACCTGT